AGGGAGAGCCGCTGCCTCGGCCACCCCCCACCTACACGGCACCTCCTGCCTGGCAGCTGGCCGGCTGTGTGGTCCTCTTCGCCCGCTTCATGCCGAGGCCTGGCATGACTGTGAGTGCTATCTGTCTGACGAAATCCCAGTCCCTGCTGAAATTTTGGCCACCCACAAGAGAAATCCCAGTGAAAACTCCCCAGCCACAGTGCCAGACAGTGGGGAAACGGCTGCCAGCGCCTGGTCATCCCCAGCCCACATCCTGCTGCTCGCATCTTGCATCCTGCACCCTTCGTCCTGCATCCCACGACCTGCATCCTGCAGCCTTCATTCCGCATCCCGCAGCCTGCAATCTGCACTCTGCATCCATGAGCCTTCATCCTGCAGCCTGCAGCCTTCGTTCTGCATCCCGCAACCTGCACCCCACATCCTGCATCCTGTGTTCTGCATCCCGCAACCTTCATCCTGCAGCCATCCTGCGTCCTGCATCCCAGACCTTCATCCTGCAGCCATCCTGCATCCTGCATCCCAGACCTTCATCCTGCAGCCATCCTGCGTCCTGCATCCCAGACCTTGCGTCCCATAAGCGCAGCCTGCATCCCCCTGCTTCCCCCACTTGGCCCGTGGCCCGTGGCCCGTAGCCACAGAGCTGTTTGTTTTGGTCCCCTTGCAGTACCAGTCACAGAGGACCCATCGGGCTCTCCTCACACCGCCCAGCACACCCCAGCCACGTATATCCCGATACACGTGTGGGATGACGCCGGTGCCCTCCCCTCTGGTGGGCACATCGTCTGTGGGTGGTGGGTTTGCGCACGGCTTGTGGCAGCCAGAGTTTGGGTGGCATGTCTTCTGCTCACTGCACTGCTGGGATGAGGGGATGGGTAGGCCATGGCCACATGGTTCACACAGGCTGGAGGCTCCCTGCCCTTTGCCCGCTCTATTTCCCCTGATCCCGTCTCCCTTTCCCAGGGTCATGGGGCTGGGGAACTGTGCTGGGGGGCTGTGGGGGACCAGGGCAGTGGGACCCCACGCCCCAGTGTGCACCGTGGGCTGCCCTGTCCCGCAGGCGTGGGAAGGGCCAGTGCCAGCCCTGCTCGGCGGTGATGCTGGAGGCTTCTCATCCCTGAGCCCATGAGTCAGTGCCCATGAGTCAAGAAGCCAAGCCCGGTGGCAGCCGCACTTTCCCCCGCTTTGCCGTGCCAAAAGAGAAAGCCACTTTCTCCAGCTGTCCCAGGCCTTTCTCTGCCCTGCTCTGTGCCAGCACCCATGGCTGCCTGTGCTTTCCAGAGCACCCATCTTGCTCACCCTGCCTGCAGCATTCTGATGGCAGCAAAGAGCCACCACCAAGGGTCCCTCCGTGCCTGGGAAAAGCCCCTGGATTAAAACTAAAGGGCGCTGCCCTGACAGGACAGGCACCCACCTGGTCCCTGCCCACATGCCCTGTCCCAGCCCCGGCTTCCCAGGCACCCCATCACTCACGGTTCCCTCTCCCCTGCAGCGACGTGACGTTCGTGGTGGGCCGGGAGCAGCAGAAGGTGTTTGCGCACCGCTGCGTGCTGGCGTGCCGCTGCCAGGCTTTCCGGGGGATGCTCAGCCAGGGACTGGTGGGCAGCGAGGACTCCCCCGGCAGCATCCCACCCCAGGACCCCTTCGTCCTGGGCAACGTGCAGCCTGAGGTCTTCCTGGCTGTCATCGAGTTCCTCTACACCAACAGCGTCACTCTCAACAGCCACATCGTGAGTGGGGATGGGGATGGTGGGGGCCATGGGTGTGGGAGGGACAAGGGGAAATGCAAGGTTAGGGGGTGTTTTGCAGCTCCCGAGGGTGCTGAAGGTGGACGGGATGCGCTGTATGATGTTTTTTGGCTGGCTAACAGTGCAATGAGTGTGTGGGGTCTCAGCCCAGGTCTCCAGAGCACCTTTTCCCACATGTGTCTGCCCCAGCCTGGGGACAGCTGTCTGTGCACACCTTGGATGCTGGGAATGGGGACACCAGAGCAGGGCACCTTCATACGCCCCCATGTGGCATCCTCTTCCCCCACCTTTCCCCACCTGGGAGCTCCCATGGAAGCAGGAGAACACACCGCCTTGGCCCCTGGGCTGCCAGGCCCGTCTGTGATGCTCACAAGGTGAGCCTGCACACTGATGCTCACAAGGTCTCTCTTTGCTGGCAGGCGCTGGAGGTGCTGACCTCATCGGTGGAGTACGGCTTGCAGGACCTGTGCAAGGTACGGCCCTGCTTAGACTGGCGGCGGTGGTCCCCAAGTGCCCCCATGCTGAGGAGCACCCCAAGATGGTCCCTGCATGGCTGGTGGCTGGAGGTGACTCTGAAGACAGCGTCATGGTGCATCACCCGGGTCCATCGCTGGCTTGGCCCCTGATTCTCGGCCCCAGAGGGTCTGTCCGGTGGGATCCCCCTTGAGGGGGTGCAGCACTGCCCGTGAGTCCCGTGGGGGCCAGGGAATCCCAGAGAAGGGCATGGGGCCTCACGTCTCCCGCCTGGTAAAGGGCAGCAGGAAAGCCCCTATGCCATCGCCCACGGGTGTCCTCCCGTCATCTGGCAGGATGATGCCCAGGGAAAGCCCCGTCCCGGGGAGCACTCGGCACCCCAGCCATGGTGCTGCCAAGGGGGTGCTGCTTCGGGCGGGAAGGTTTTGAGAAGGCAGCAGGGAGTAAAAAGGAGGGGTGGGAGCGGACGAGGAGCCAGACAGGGAGGGGGCAGGGAGCTGGATCAGCTCCACTTGGGGAGGGCGGCTGGGCCACGTCATCAGAGCGATTC